TAGTTTTTCTTTCTGCATTCACAAACATAATGGATGTAGTGAAGTGTTCAAGAAAACAGATCTGATATCTGAATGTTATTTGCTTTGTCAGACATCACCATGCCCTGACCTGAAGAGGTATTCCTCACAACTGAAAGAATAACATCTGAGTGTAAGAATCATGTTAGAATATTTTCCAAATTCATGGAGATAGGATATGAATGACAGGTTTTGCTATTTTTTGTCTTTAATGCCATATTAGGAGCCAGATATGGCTGTTTTTTCTGGCTGAACCATCAAACATTGGGAGTCAAAACAAAACCAGTCTCAGGATTCTAGATTTGTTTCTACAGCTGTGAAAACAGACAAAACCAGTACTAAGCAATCGCAAGGACCAGTTCAAAGCTGAAGTGAATTTGTCAGGGGCTCAAAGTAGTTGGTCATAAATTTTTCTAAACGCTAATGAAGTTTCATTTGAAATAATTGCTGCGTAACAGTACAGTTAATTGTGCATCTTTCATTACCACTATTAATCAGCCTGTTTTCGAGTGTTAGTGAGCCAGCTGTACTCACTTACTGATAAGCTTATCAGCCTTTTTTGTAATGCTTAATTGTCTTTTATATTTTTGTTCCTACATTCCTAAAATTACTGGGTGAAAATCAACAAAATTTTATTTTGTTAACCGATTCTTGTGCCAAACATTGACTGATTCTGGCCTGGGCTGGGTTATGGTTTTTCTTGAACTCCACTAAAATCAGTTAACTTGACTAATGTCTGCTGCTAAGGTTTAAAAGAGAAGGCACAAAAAGTAAAGAAATGAAAACCAGGATAACAAAACATGAGATACACTATTTAAGTGAGAAGGAATTATCAATTTATTTTCTGTATTGACTTAATGCTTGCAGGTTAAAAGGTTTGAGACCTGGGTAAACATTGCTGGTTAAGGTAGTATCGGGGTGTGTTGTCCAGTTGTGTGTAACATCCTGGAAAAACTTTAAACATTCAAGGTTAACAATATCTTTACTGAACAAGCTCACAGTTTAGCCTAAAATGAAGTGATTAACACGACTAACTAACATTGACGTTATACAACATCATTTTACAATCTTACCCTATCATATGAAAAAGGGTCAATTTTTTCTTTAATTTTTTTTTTGTTTAGTTAATCTCTCCAAATTCTATCCAACATTAATCCATATTAAACAGATTCCCAATTAAAGTTTAGAGTGTCCATTTCTTGTTTCTATTTCAGAGTGATGCTCCAGATGAGGTCCCCTTAGTGACCTGGAGTACTTTCTCCATGCGGCATTAGCTTTCAGCTTTTCTTAACTTGCAATTTTTATTTTTTTTCTGTAATTGCAGCATATTTTCTTTGCACTGGTCTAGTGTGTGTGTTAGTATGTGTTTGCATCAGGTTTTGAATTCTCAGCATTTTTACACTTTGCTTTCTTTTCGTCAGTTTTGCGTGCAAGTCTCCTTTTTTGATTTGCTAACGTTTGAGTTTGCCATACTTTTTGAATTTGCTGTGATTTTAAGGATTTCCACATTACCTGCTCCCATCGGCCGCCATAGATATGCTATTGCTTTAGCTGAAATCTCAACAAACTAGCCTGAGCTCAGCACATTATAAAAGGGGGGGGGTTCAGAGACAAATACATTGACAAAATTACTGATATAATATATTTTATTGTATAGCTTCTGGTATCTAAGTTATGCAATGTCATATACCATAATGCATACCAAAAAGAAGAAAAAAGAGCAAAATTTCTAAGCTGTTCATATTTCATCTTTATAATGAATGCTGGCAGTTCTTTTTCTGCCTTGAACAGACAGTTGGACCAATATCATGGGACGATAACATCTGCCAGTCTTAGCTTGGTTATTCTGTACCTTGGAGTAGTTTACTCACAGTGTGAAGCTGTGCCCATACCAGACGACCAAATGCAGGAAGAGGATGTGATCTATGAGCTGCCTATTTGATCTGAAGAAGTAGATGAAAAGAGAAAAAAATTAAGAGCTTGATTCTGAAGAAAATAACTACTTTTATAATGACTTATGAGGCAACAATGAGTAACAAAGAGATTTTTAGGCAACAGCATTTGATCAGTAAAGGAGCAGCAAAAACACCCACGAGGCAGAACTTTCTTTTTATTGCCTTTTTTTGACTGAATCACTGCAATGCTTTCCCTGAAACAATCTGTTGCAACTGCATGACTGATTGGTCCAAACTGAAAATCTCTGAAAGCAAATTTGAATTTGCTCACTTTAAGAATTCCCTGTAATGGACCAGCAGTATTAATGCATCCTTAGTCCTGCTAAAGCATTTACATCAGAGCAGGAAAAGGCTTTTTTTGGAATTTTGAGTAAAAGATGGTAGTCCTGCTGGTGCAATGAAATGTCAGCAGAAAAGAATAGTAATAAGAACAGATTTTAAGATGTTACACAATGTAAAAATGAAGCCTGACATTCAGCATGCACTGGAGGGGTTCCCAGCTGAGTGTGTAGCTGTTTGGATGAGAGCGAGTTCCTCTAAGTCTGAGGCTATATTGTTCCCTACCCCCTAGCACAGGGTAATTTTCTTCCCCAAGAGTATTTTTTTGATCTTTTGTTTCTGGCTTTCTTTTAAAAACAAACATACTAAGGAGACGGTGAAAAATAAGAAAGTGGGATTTCATTTTTTTATTTTTTTTTGAGGAAGGTTTTTTTGTCTCAGTGAAATTCCTTAGCATCAGCAGTGGACATTGCCTTTGAGTCAATGAGTCGATGCAATCAGCTGGTTTTCCTTATATAGAAAACTCTGAACCAGTCTGACTGTATGATCTGGTCGAATTGTCTCTCTAAGTGCCTTGAGATGTTGAATTGGTGCTGAATACATAAACTGTATTGAATTGAATTGTACTTACTGTTAGAGGTGTTGTCAGTTATATTGGTGCTGCTCTGGTCTTTTGTAGTCAAGAAACAACTGAACCATAAAGCAGAACTTTCAATTTACCAGTCCGTCGATGTTTTAATACCCCTAGGGCCATTACAGATGGTCCGTAACCAAAAGAACATGTTATAGTGGGAAAAAAATACGTTTGCTTTCTGCTGCTTAAATGTGAGTTCATTTAGGCGCTTTGGGCACCGGACCAGTTTTTCTGGTACAGATTGCCCTGTAACGCCCCATGACCCAATCACAGACAAACAAAATATGATGACTGGAATGATTGATGGACAGCGAGACAGACAGACGGATGGATAGATGAATGCTTTGGCTGTGGAAGATACGTGTTAGCTTGCAGATGTATTTTATCGGAGAATGGGTGCATGTAGAGCCTGACATTATCTGATTTTATGTTCTTTGTGGATCATTTAGCTGAAAACAAGGCTATGTTTGTATGTGGCTGACTTAAGTATGCAGAGGAAGAGCAGATGTTATGAATTAGTTGCTGTGATATCAACAGTGGTTGTTAATCTGTCTCTTCATATTTATAGAAAGATGCTGTTTAGTCAGTTGTGTAGAATCTAAGATCAGAAAACAGCATTTTAACCTTAAAAAAAAAGTATGACAATTCACCAGCCTCTTAGCTTCAATTTAAAAAAACAATAACTACTTCACTACGACTAATTACAACTTTCAGACTCTTTTGTGGAAGGTTTCTGGTCTAGTAAACTAACCAATGATAGTGTTTGGTTGCAACAGTTTGTAAAAAGCCTTCGTTGTTTATTCCATTGGCTAATTTAGTAAATTATATCTTTTCATCACAGTATAAATCCTTTTCGCAAATTCCTACGTGTTTAAATTCAAACTGGATGCATCAAAGAGATTGTAGATCATTTTAAATGCTGAGGGGGTTTTTACGAGTCAGATGCTAGTAAAGCCTTTCAGTGTTCCTCCTATAAGCAGAAATGTGCCACTTTTTTTAGAACTTTGAAATTTTCCAGTTTCCAAATTCAGAGGTCTATCCATAGCAGCTTTTATTTCATATTTGTCAATGAATAGCTCAGTGGCCTTTCAGCTGAATGACCCTTTACCTCCTTATTATTGACGTTACTAACTGATTAGGATTACAAACACTACTTTTGAATAACTCAGTTTGTTCTGCTTGACTCCTTCGACCTTTGCCTTACAGGCAGCAGAGAACAGTCATGCCACTATTCAAAGATAAGCACCAGACTGAAGTCGCAGCGGCCCACTGAGATGTCACCCTCTCTGTCCATTTTTGTCCAGTTGTCATGCTAGTTGGCATCATGAATTCTGGTCACATGTTTAGCAAACCACCTTTGTGTTTAGTAAAGAGGGAAAAAAGTCATGCAATGATTAAAAATAGATCTTCTAATAAGACATTAAAGCCCAAAAGTGTTTTTAGTCATCATCTTTTAAATGCTCTCCTCTAACCTCAGATCCAAATTAGGCCAAACAGCTCTCACTGATTATAATGACCGTATCATTACACAAGCATCAGTCCTCTCATCAGCAAATCTTAACAGCAATAATTGATTAATAAGATTATAAATGCTATTGATATCTGGATAATTACCTAACTGGTTGGCTTGTGTTAACATACAAAATGGCTTGTTTTTTGTACACTACAAATGCCAAATTGATTCCAATTTACTAAATACTGAGCCATAAGAAACAAAAACTTTAAGAAAGGAATTATTAGTAAATTTGAATCTCATCTTTACCCTCTAAGTTGGTTCAGTCCATCTTCTGCAAGATTTCTTGGTATAATTGATCAAAAACCATTAAGGGGAAATGCATTGACAAGCAAATATTTAAATTCCTGGTTAGAAAAGGTTTTGTTTTTCAGGCAGGAAATGGAATTAGTAAGAAGACAAAGGCAGCAAAAATTGACCCAGGCCTTTATCTATTTGCGCATTTATTTACCTAATAGATTGTTTTTCATACCAGTATGTTCTGTTGCTTCAGTCCATGTCTAACATGAATATAATTTCCCCCAGCAAGGCAGAGTTTTGGCTTTTTAGTAAGAACAATTAGCAATCAAATCTCTGTTCCTCTGTGTGTTTATTTTCACAGTAAGCAGCGCCTGGCAGACATTTTCTGACACTAATAATGAGGAAAACTTTGCAGCTGAGTTTCTGCACCACCAGGAAGATGACAACCAAGGTAAAACATATCTGTTCACACATTTAGACCGAATATATTGACCTTTTTTTTTTCAATAATTAGATCAATCTGAATTTATGCACAGGATTGTTTCAAAATGAATGAATGAATTTTAATCTTTCTATGCTTTTTTTAAAACCAGAATTTAAATTCTGGTTTAACGACGCCCCTTTCAGAGACATAGACAGGTATTGGGTATTGCAGGCTAACAAAGAACCCAAACAATGGCCCATTCCGACAGGGCGGACCCATTCATTCCGGTTCAAATCGCATGTCTCTAAGCCAAAACAAGGCTTTGTTTTTGGTTCACGCTATAGAGCCTCAAACTCTATATCTGAGTATTTGAATTGAAAAGTTTCCTGAATGGAAAGTAAAATATCTTCAAACTTGGAAACAAAGCCCAGTGGATTGCTTTTTAACTTCTTTGAAAAAGAATTTAAATTCTAAACTGAAATGACCTATATTTGTCCTTTTACTCTAATAAGGAATCTAAAATTAAGAGACACATGATGTTTTTAAGCAATAAATTCATGAAATAGATAAAAAAAAAATGCAGATTAACCAAAAATAAATAAATATAAAAACCAAATCTAAACACTAATTAAAAGATGTCTCATTCAAAGATATTTGAGATGTTTTTGCACTTCCTTGTTAAACTGTTAAACACCAGAGAAGGGGGTCAGCAGAGAGAACATCATCATCTATCTGATGACAGTTATGTTGTTGTTTTGGAGGTTTAAAGTGGCAAAAGCAGGCATCTGTAAAATAACAGTTTAACGATGCGCCTCATTTTTCTTTGTTTGTTTAGAACCAAAGGGATTTAGCTTTTTTCTTTATAGTAGCTGCTTCCTCTTCATTATTCACACGATGTCTTCTTCTTCACTCTGATCCTGTTCATCAACCCCCCAGCCGGCCCTCCATGGGCTCTCAATCACTCAGGCTTAACAAGTGTCCCGCCTCTATGGCTGACAAAAACACAGGTTAAGTTTGGTGAAAATTTAAAAGTAATGTGCTATGCGTGTGTAAAACAGTTATCATAAGGTTATTGGGATATTTTGTGTATTAAAACCAAAAGGAACAGGATCAGAGTGTTTCTGTTGCTGCATTTACAGGTTTTCAAATGTAATTTTGCTTCTGCCAACACAGCAATTACCTCTCACTGCTTTTATACTTTGTAATTCTCTCTGTTACATTTCTTTTGTTCATTGAGTATTTTTGAAAGCTATGGTCAAAGGGTTACAGTCACTCATTACAGGCATGAATGTTATTTGACAGTATGATTCATTTTAATTCTTTTTTTAGGGTTGAATAATGAGAGATTTCCTTTTAACAAAAAGCAAGTACATCAGTATAAAATTATTGTAAATTCTCTCTGAGCCACACTGAGGCACATTTATATATACAGGCTCAGTTATTTCAGTAATCTAAGGTTGGACCATATGAAGAGGACATTTTCCATCTGGCAGGTTAAATATTTTGATGTAGAGGAGCAGCAGTTCCACTTTAATGTCATTATGGATGATGGTGTTCCTCTCTTTCTGTCTAAGTCCAGCCTTTGGAGGAAGCTAGTTGAAATGCTTGTATCCAGAATTTCCTTGTTTTAATTTTTATTCATATCTCATAACCATAAATCAGGGCTGGCTGCAGACAGACTTTCAAAATATGTTTCTTTTCAGACCCTTTATTCACTATAAAAGACCAAAGCAGGGCCTGATTCTGTAACATGGCCCCATTTCTTCCATTCATCTCGACCGAAGGTACTTAAACTGCTCTCAGTTCTTGAGGGAGCAGCCAAACCACATGAAACCGGCAGAACTGTAAAAGGCTTGTAATACCTATGTCAGAACAGTGAATGGTGTGGTAACACTGCCACAAAAGTTAATAAGAAACAGAAGGAAGAAAGAAGAGCAAGACAAATGCAAGAAATCCTGGAATAAGAAAAAAATAATAGTTTGGATGTCGTTACAGAGCAAAATGTAATGGTATAAAATCCACAATAAGCTTTTGAAATATAACACGTCTAAAGAATATCACTGTTGTAGTTTGTGCTTGTTAGGGGAGAAGCTAGACCTACATTAGCTTGCATGCCAGACCTGCAAGTTTGTAGCAGTTAGGATGTTTGGGCTATCCACACAAAGTCATTAAGGTGGTCAGCTTCAAACTTTCCAGCTCTGGGTGCAGGTTTCAAAAACTTTTTTGTGGACAGAAATGTAATCAAAAGAAGCCCCAACATGTGTAGGATTGGTGCTGCACGCAAGTTAACCATAAAAGAAAGCTGCAAGAAGTCAAGACATTTAAAAACCTTGAAATATCAGCAAGGGACCTAAAGCTATGTCAATATGATCAGAATATGATGGCGTACATTTGAATTTCACAGAAGATGTAAGGAAGAAGCATTGTTCTCTAAGAAAAAAACATGAAAGTCGGACTAAAGTACGCCAGTAAGAATGTGGAATAATATTCTAAAATGTCATTATTTTGACATTGGAACAGATATGTCTGGTATAAATTAACGTTTTCTAAAAAAAAAAAAAAAAAAAAATCCCATCCCAACAGTGACATGGCTTTGGGAAGCTTTATCAGCTGACCTTCAAAGACCATACCATGGACTCCAGGGTGCTTCTGATGGAAAACATGAGACCATCTGTGATCAAATTTTAAATGGAACCAGGACTGACCTTGAAGCAATAGCCAGAAGATAATAGTAAATCCACCAAAAATTTAAAAAAATTAGAAGAGTGAAGTTTTAAGTAGAGTTAGAGCCCAGAGCTTTATTTGCTTTTTGTTTTTGTTTTTTGTGTTTAAGAGTATTTACTAAATCTCACTTCACAGATCAGAACAAATCAACAATAAGTTCAAATATGTAAAATTCCCTTCATTTTTTTATTCATCCCAGCTGTTTTCTGTGCAATATTCCCACATATGACATGCGACGAATTTTATGCTGATGTTTGGTAATTTCTGACTTGATCTTGCATGTTATGTCTTACAGTTACCTCTTGTGATTTTGAGTCGTCGTGCTATTGGACTTTAACACACAATGGCACTCACAGTGACTGGTCTGTGGTTTCGCCTCAGCAGCTCAAAGGCACTATAGCCAGTGCAATGCCTACACTCGATCACTCAGCGGGACAACCTGATGGTATAACTTAGTGAAAAATGTTTTGTTTAAAGTGACTGCTTCTCTCACTTCAGTGTAATAAAATGCGAAACATTAGATTTTTCATTTAGATAAAACATTTGCTTGAAGCTATACAGGAGTGAAAGCTACTTTAAACCTCTAAATATGATGTTTCTCTATTTTTCATCACCTCAGGACATTTTCTTCTTCTCACCCCAACTGATGCTGGGAAATGTGAACACCGAATAATAAGTCCTGTCCTGCCAGGAAGCGATAGACATTGTGTTCTGCAGGTGGCTCTCTATGAGGCCGGAACGACCAAGGGTAACCTGACGGTCTTGATCAAACCAGCTCTGTCAACCTTGGTTATCCACACAGAGGTTCTTAATGACAGACCAGATGCCCACAGGTAACAATGATCCGCTCTGACTTTGTCTCGATAATGTTGTTCTGCCCTCAGTTTTCTTTGTGCTGTTAAGCTGGAGTATTCAGAGAAGGATAAGAGCAAAGTAGGAGTAGATTCCTACAATGAAAAATACCTTCAGAGGGAGCAAGGGCAACGAATGCTAGCAGAGATAAAAGAGGAAGATTAAATTTGAGGCAGTAAAGGCAGAACCGTGTCTGTTGTGGCACAATAGTCCTGTGGGTATTGTTTGAGAAGCATAGGTAGGTATTTCCTATTGATGCAATGCTGAAGTGCAGCCATTTTTAGAACAGCTAAAAGCATTCTTGCTTTGGATGTAAGCCTGAGATTAATTTATGTGTAATTGGTGAGGACAGAAGAGGGATGGATGGGCATGTGCAATAAGTCGGTGCACTGGCTTTGTTAGCATCTCTGCAGTAATGGACCTTGCAATTTCATTACGTGGCATACACTGCGTTTCCATTTATCAATCTCGTCATTCATGTAGTACAAGCCAACAGACCTAGCTTCCCGATGCACTCCCAAAGAATCGGTCATAGAGTTCTCATGTCTCTGTCCATGTAAGAGTAAAGTCTCTCTGATTACTGTCAGAACACCTGGTAAATGATGTGGCTCACCTTAACTCACGGTACCTACAGTAAAATCTAAAGATATCAGGAAAGAACTTGGAGACATCCACCGATGTGGTTAATTCTTGGCTGCAATTTCAGGTAGTGGCGCATTCATTAGTTCAAATTAGGTAATAGATGTATAAAAAACATGGGATTGTCTAGACAATATACTGCTGAATGAGGGAACAGGTTATGTGATCATAAAGTAAACATGTTTTGTTGCAAATCAACTCCAGGACAAAAGCAAAATACTTTTGTAAAGGTGTTGGCTGAAGCTGTAACTATCCACAGGGAAACAAGTAATGTCGCTTAGGCGGAAGTTCAACTGAAGAAACTAAATTACTTGCCTAATCATCAGAGGATTATCTGCTTCTGATGCAAACTACTGTAATCAGCTTTGAAATGCACCTCTGCAAAGCCCAATCAGCATCCAGAGTTCATCTTAAAAGGTCTCCAAATCCACGATTCAACCTGTAACTCAGCCAAACGCAAGCAGTTATGGCGCATGTCCAATTTGACTCAGATGACCCTGATTCAACCCACCTCCATTCCCTTCTTCACCACCGTAGCTAAGCTCTATCTGGCTTTTCCATGGTGCTTCTTCAACCTCGTTCCTATCAGAGTGTAATTCCTCCTGAACTCTTACTGCAGTACCTCTCATCTCCACTGGTCTTGCAGAAGACCGACATTTTGAGCCTGGTTCCACCAGAAGTCTTCCCAAAAGGGAGTTTTTCCTCTCCACAGTCGCTTCATGCTTGCTCATTATGGACAGATTCATACAAACCTGTTTTTATGAAGCTGGAAATCTATCTTTCGGGTCCCGATTGAAGCGCTAGTATCAGCTCACACAGTCTACTAAATCTCACCAACACAGCTCTAGCAGATCGTCTCGCCAACCAGCAGTCTATGGACTGAACCAACTAAATCTGTCTCAACTCCACCACCAGTTTCATGCCTGGGGGGGAGACTTCCTGGTTCTTATACACCTTCTTATGCATTTTAAAGTAAAATTCAGCACTAAGTTTCCTGCTGAGGTCTAAGCGCCAAAGTCTTAAATAAATTTTATCAATAAAATTAATTTAATTGTCTTCCTTTCTGTGTGAGTTTTCCAAATTCAAATGTTTTTTTATGGACTGAAAGGCCCCTCAGAGAGGAAGAAGACATTTTTTTAAAGCAACATCAGAAGCTGGTTTACACTGTGCTAACATACTCATTTCAAATTTTTTTTGAGAAATAATTAGTTGTCAAATTAAACTAGAACAAAAGTGTTTGCCTATAACGGCTGTTGTTGCATGCAGAGGAAAAAAGAGCATCAGCTTGCTTGTCCTAGAATACCCTCCCAACTGTGAGATATGGCAGCCTCATATTTGGTGGATGTTGGGAGAACTGGATCCCACCATGAAAAATAGGCCGTCTTCAGCATAGAACATGATGTGGTCACATCAAAGCATCAGCTGACGATACCCAACAGGAAGTAATATCCCGAGAATAAATGGGTCCACAAAATAGATAATGGCCCCTTAAACGAATTACAAAGTATTTTAAGGCCAATGAAGTCAAGGTTTTACAAGGGCCATTAAAGTGTCAAGCAGTTTTAAGGCAATGCTACTTAATACTGAACTAAAGTATATAGAAAACCTCTAAATATGGAGAAAGTTTAAAAAAAGAACAAATGTTTATTATTTTGGCTTTTAGCAGTTAATTTTGGTAACCTCAACTGATTTTAAAGTGATTTAAAAGGAAAAGTGTAGTTAGCTTTTATGTAAGGCATTGAAATAAAAAAAAATTTGATTTATTTGTATAACCTGTATTGAAATATCTGGTTAACCATATTTTGATGTACTCAGATTTATTTCCATCCTTTGTTTCAGAAATGAGTGGCAGGTTCTCAAGGCTGTTATTGGTCATATAGATGAACCGTTTCAAGTGACGCTGCTCTACGCTTCCTGTGAGGGAGAAGGAAGAGTCAGTGTGGCTCTGGACTCTCTGGATTTCATAGACTGTGTCTCAGGTGGGTTATTATAATTTTTCAGCACAGTTTTACTTTAAAATGGAACCTTGCTTAAAATGCTATATCATTTAATAGCAGTTCTCTTTGTTCCATTTTATTTAAATCAATAGCTTGATCTAGGAGGTTTGAGAGGAACCTTTATATCAAACAAAAAACATTTTTGCCAGTTCTGATACAGGTGTTAATATCAAACCTTCTAATGATTAATATTATAATTAATATAATTTTAAACAATTTTTTTCTATGACATCTAATTAACCTCAGCTGTTTAGCATGCTAAATCAGTATACTTTACACAGTACTGATAAGATTCCCTCGATGCAATTTTACTAAATCTGATTTTATTGAATCTTTGCTAGTCCCTCAAAATTGCTTTTGAGTAATCTTGTTTATTGGCCCCCCAAAAAATGAAAGGGGATTTTCACACTTAAATCTATAGAAGAAACTAGTGATTCATAATGTTCTGGCATTAATGTTAGTTAGTGTGGATCCCATAACTTAAGCACCAATGTTTATCTTATCTTGCCGACAAAGGTATTGATGGACGGTGGTGATGTTGTTGTTGATGCAGCACAGGTTTGTGGGTGTTTAACTGAAGCAGAAAAACATTTTCAGCACTTTGGTCCACACTATAATAGTGTATAACATAACATCAGAAGAGATAACAGCAATATTGGAACTGGATGTAGCTATTGGCTCAACTTTGTGTTCCCTTAGAGTGAGATGCCTTGAAATTGCCTTTAGATTATAACAATTTTTCTGCATTTATGCTTGTTTTTAATGGCTTTTCATGTGTAGAGCTCCAGATCCCAACATTTGTTCAGTTCATATAAATAGAACATTTACAGTAGTTGCTTAGAATCAGGGATTCACAGTCTTTAAGATAAAGTCTCTAAATGTCTCTTTCTCTCTTTTACATTTGGTGCAAACAATAACTCCTACAAATCTTGGAACACCAATCATCAGTTTCACATATTAAAGCATTCTATAATATACTTAGATTTTTAATACATTAATGTTCTTTGTTATATCTGCTTTTTCTCTTTCACATAATATTGTCCTAAAATAGTGTTGCCAGTGATCAGATTAACTTTTGGTTCTCTCTAGATCCAGATTGGCTTCAGAATTTCAGCATTGCTGTTTTAAATTATCTGGGTGCATCTTTAGATCAGGAGCAGAGCTTTACTACACCTCTAGAACTAAGTCTTTATTTTCCATCCTGTGGGCTATGTTGTCATGACACAAAAAGGCATCACCTGCAGAGAGACTGCATGCTTCAAACATATCACATTTCAGAATTGATCAATATCTAGAATTATACACGTGTCATACTCGCGTAACCCCCTTAAGCTTTAGGAAAACATTATATTTAATAAAAAGGGGGGATGATTTGAGTTTATTCATTGATTGTTAGTTATTCTCTCCACATTTTATATTCAAAAACTCCACATGAGGCTTTCTCAGGTTAAAATTTAAAACACTGCACTCAAATATGATCCTGGTGGAAAAATGGGTCTTGGTGTTGAACGGCTTGATTTACGATCACATTTATCTAATCGAGTTTCTAAAGGTTGCTCACATGAATTTTAAAAGCTTTATTTTCCTGGATTTGCTGTGTGAGTGCAGGTGTTACGGCCTCAAAGCTGAATGACGAGTGCGGACAATCTGTTCACTGCGTGAACTCGGGTGGATGCATCGATCAGAGCCAAGTGTGTAACTTCCATACGGACTGTCCGATGGGAGAAGACGAGGGGCTGATCTGTGGTGAGTTTCAGCTCTTGATCCTCTAATCCTAACGTGATTCACTTAACTCATCCTGTGAGTGTGAGTTAATTAAAAAACGGTTTTCTTGTTTGCCTGTGACTGAATTGTAAAATATAGCAGATGCCAATTGTTCCATTTTAAGTATGCAAACATGGATATATATTTTTTCTTCCCGTTTGTCTACAAATTTAAAAACCTTTACTACAAAACTAGTCAATTCATGAGTAAAGCCTTGAATAACAAACACAACATACTCAGCAGCTCATAATGAATTAATTTCCTTTATGTTTTCAAAGGAGCTGCGAAAAAAAGAGAAACTTTACTGATGATTAATTGCAACACTTTACCTCCTGCAAATAATTATGACAGCCCTTCTTTCTGAAAACATCAATCATGCTGTATAAGGAAACCTCTTTACCCTGCTGGGAATCAAAGGCAGTAATGAAATCAGTGCGCTGAGAGTTACCAAAGTCCTTCAGCTGGGCCACAGTGGTGGGGCAATTCTTTCTTAGGGCCCACAAGTGTATACATTTTTAAAAGCATTTGAGTGTTTATAATAAACTCTGGCTCTGACATTTTATTAGTGATTCTTTTTCCACCTTTTATAAGATAAATGGGAGGAAAATTGAATCATGAACTAAAAGCCTGCTTTGTTGTTTTGAAAAGATTGACAAGAAAATCAAATGCAATTTTTCTCAGACAAAATAATGTGTTTTGTTATTCATGGTAACAAAGGGAAATTCTCAAAACTTTAGGAAATAAGAATTTATTATTGAAGGAATGGCAAAATTAGTAGACTGGTGATTGGAGCCTAAACTGCAGCCAAAGACTCCTTCAAATAGACATAAAACAACCCTGTTTTTTTTCAACAGTTTTTTGTTATATTTGTATCATATGTTTTTTATTTAGTTTAATAGTATCATTGCTGATAACTCCAACCTTCTCACTTCAACTTTTAGTGTAATTTTATCATAAGACTTTCCCTTCCATTGATCAAATAAATAAACTTTTAAGATTTTTAAAAAATTTTTATTACACTTTTAAAGAACCACACCCTTTGAATGTGTTGCTTTTATAATAAAACAGAGACACTTGGGCATTTGTAAAAATATATTCCTAAATAATTAAAGAAATGCATGAAAAATTTTGCTGCTTTGTGTTATCCATTGTTTATTACATAATAATCTCAAAGCGTTTATGCAAAGGGCTTGGTCTAAAAGAAAAAACTCTCCCTTCTTTGTAATCTGGGATTTTGCTTAAAATGTAAATGTAATGTTAGATATTAAATGTTAAATATTAAATAAATGTTAGATATTAAATACAATATTTAACTTGTATTAGTTTTATCATTATATTTGTCTTTTTAAACGGATAATGCAAATTAGGATGAGTCTTTCAGTCTATTATACAGCAAAGATTTTTCACTAATACCATTACATTGAGTGCTCCTTTTTAGCTGCAGTCGTTGTCAAATTAAATTGCAAAACGGAAACATTAAATCACATCATTGTTTAAATACAAAACAGTAAAAATAATGGAATACTGTGTTTAGCCCTATTCTCTATGATAAATTAAATCTTATTTTTTTCTTTTTGTTTTTGTTTGATTTAACATCCATCCCTATTTGGTGGGGGGGACAAACAATGGAAGTCAGCCTCGGCTGTAATTGGGTGCACTCTTATTTGTGTCATTTTAATATGCTTACACAGCCTCTCTCCCTGCAAATTAAAAATAAAAAATCAAAATTAAACTAACAAAAAAAAGGAACAATCTATTATGAGAAAAATAAAAAAGAAACAAAAAATACACAAAATTGGCTAATCTACAAATAGGCTCATATTTATTTACTGACCGCCGTTAGATGTAAAGTTCCTCAGATCTGCTGGTACAGTTATCAAAGCTTTAAGAGGCCCAGAAGGGGAGAGTGTGAAGACAGTTTTCCTATGGGGGGGTCTTAAAGTTTTCTCTAGTTGACCATCTTAGACCTTAAGACATTTTTTCTGCTGCTTTAATGTCAGCGGAAACTGGGCCACAAATATTTAACAACTTTAACTCTGACTTGGTTGCATACATTTATAAAGGCAAAAGTTAAACACATACATTTTCTTCACAGAAAAGTTGACCCATATCTTGTTCTTGTTGATGAGGGTTGACAAAATATTCCAGCCTAAGGAAAGAAAAAATACCAATTAGTTAAAAAAAAAAATAAATTAACATTTTTAAGAAGGTTGTTTTCTACCCTAAAATCCCATGGTTGAGTTTTGTTAAGCTTATAAAAAAATCATTTTGTACACAATATAATGATAAATGATAATTTTGGCTTTGGATCAAATTCATCTTAAAAATTTTCCTGACAGAAAGTTTTTCCCTTAAGGATTTGAAACCTGAGACCAGATGGAAATGTCCCTTAACCTGCATTAAGTTGATTCATTTAAACTGAATCTTATGCTCTAAAGAGAAGCGAGGCAGATTTTTCTGCAGCTGTGTTGACCATCCCAGTAAAATATTATAATCTGCTTTCCTGGCAGACGCTCTTCCCTTTGGCTCATACTGCTCATTTGAGTCGGACTCATGCGGTTGGTCCGCGTCCAGCCAGCACTCGGGATGGAGGAGAGTCGCTGGTGATGAGCTTCTGGAGAAACAGGACATGCAGGGCGTCACTCTTCAGCGAACACCAGGTGTGTGTCCTCGTTGTGCTCATGTGATTTACAGCCTGATTTTATTACTACTTGTTGTTTGTGTCTCCATGTAATAAAATAAATCATTGCATTTAGAAAATATTCAAGAGAGTGACCTCATTTACTTTTCAAAACTCCCTCCTCTTGTTGACAGAACAATAAATATCATGGACAAATTTTGAAGTTACTGGTTTACGGCTTTATTTTGCCTTTAAATCTGACAGCAAGGTGTAGGTTTATTCACAGAGAACCTATGAGTGCTTAAATTAAATAAATAAAAAAGTCCAAGCTTGTAAATATTCTGCTGTCTAATATGTCGTTTTTTGCCTCCAGGGCACTTCTTCTACCTGCAGGTTAAAGAGAGTAACTCCTTTGTTGAAGCGTCTATTCAGAGTTCTTATTTCCCTGCTCCAGTCTCTACTACTGCATGCCAGGTCAGTCCCTTATTAAACTCATAAAATTAGCCATTTGGTTAATGAGGTCTTGTTTTAATGTCTTTTTAAGTGAGTCATCTCTTTGCTTAAGTTTTCCTAAACAATTTCTCTGCCTGCGTAGATGCGTTTCTCTCTCTACTTGTACGGAACATTTAATGGCTCTTTGCAAGTTGCCATAGAAGAAAATGGAACAGCAGATGCACCTCTTGTCTGGGAGAGACAAGATCAGTCAACAGATGACTGGGAAACAGTCGCACTGTTGCTGACTGGCCTTCATCATGGGTATGTAGAGAAGTTATAAAAATGCTTTATATGGGGGAAAAAAAGGAGCTTAAATCATTTATTGGCCACACTTGTAGAAATATCTGCTTCTACAAACATCTGGGAAGTAATGGGTCCCACTCAGGAGCTTAATAAACTCTAGTTTGGATGCAAGCAGTGAAAAAAGTCCCCTCGTATTCCACATTTTACTTTTAGGATTGTTGTAACAGTGGCTAATCTTAGTAGGCCAAGTAAAATCACTGGATTGGGTCGACAGAAGCTAAGGCCAATCGTTGAAAGCTCACCAACCTTTTTCAGAGTCAACATCTACAAACGTCCAAACTTTGTAATAGACTGAAAAGCTTCTATGGAAGAGAAGCTGTATTCAAGCCTTACATCAGCAGGAGCAGAGGTGTGAAGCGTACTGTCCCTGTAGAGCAGCAGAGACTTGTTCTATGGTGATGAATCAGGCCTTTCTGTCTGTCAGCTGTTCCAGGAGAACAGCACCACTTTAACGTCTTTGTAAAGTTGAATGCAGAGGGATTTAGTCCCAGTTTAATGGTTTATAAATGCTTTATAGATATTAGACCATGTCCTTTTTACTACATTTTCTGGGCAGTTTGGTAATACTTCCTTCTATTTCCCACATGGAACCAGTGCACAAATCAGGGCCCTGGAAGACAGCAGGTTTGGTGCTGTGTAATTTGACTAATCTGCACAGTGTTCATCATTAGTGAGAAGAGTACTGAGATGATTTCCAGTAGACACAGCAGACCATGTCTGACCATTTAAATGGACATCTGGCAGTGTGGTCGTAAATTATTATAAACACACACCTGAATGTCGTAGAAAGCCTTCCTGAAAAAATATTGCATCAGTTTTAGCTGCAAATTTTTGACCAACGTCCTTTTAGGTTCTATTAAAAACATGAATTCCCTGGACTTTCAACCTGTCTGGCTGTTACCCTAAAAAAGTCACTGTCAAGCCAAAAATCAGGCTGATATGCTAATTTTTTATGACCATAAAGGGTCTGGAAATGACATCTAGGCTGCCTCCTCCGAGCATTTCAGCTCAGACGCTGGTTAGGTTGAGACTTTTAGAAATACAAGCCCTGATTGAAGTTTATATATTCTGCTAGAAGGTGAATCTCCACTCCAGATTCAAATATTTATTATGGGCACTTTATTTAGCTTCATCCAAATTTAGATTTAAAAAAAAAAAAAACTGTTAAAGTTCATGTCTACAAATGTTTTTTTATCCAGCACAGGAAAAATCTTGTCTTTATAGATGCATAGGTGGAAGAGACAAGGCCAAAGTCAGAAACAACATCAGCGCAGAATTTTCAGATATTACTCTGTTTAAGTTTAACACATAGTCATAATAAAATACATTGAAGTTATTGGTAGTTCTAAATGTTTTAGAGGTATAAAAACGCTTGGAACGCTCTGTAAAGAGACTTATTGGTAGTCTGCCCATCCTTAACACGGTCCCCTTATTCCTCTGTGATGCATTTTATTCTTCTTTACCCAGAGCTGAGCTCCGTTTGCTTTACTGTTTATACCATGCTGTGATTTTCTAAGAGATTTTTGCTTCCCTTCAGGTTCCATGTCCATGTGAAAGCCATGTGGGGACAAGGCTCCAACGCTGATCTCGCTTTTGATAATATCGCCATTGGAGCAGCATGCTTCAACACAGGTAGACCTCCAGCACTATGCAAGGATTTTGAAAACCAAACACAAGGCATAATCCTCCTAGTTTCAAATAAGTTATGTGCCTGATAAAATCTGTCTCTGATGTGTTCAGCACTGCTTCAGTCTTCTGTTTGATGCCCTGTTTTAAGGATTGGCTCCGACATAAGGCTAACCAGTGCTAAAATGATTTGTTACCAACCCTTTACCGCAGTATGACTACAGTGTGTGCCAGCATTCCTCTCTGTGTGTGCTTTGGCAGTCTGGGTTTTGAATTCTCATACTGTCAGAGCACTTCTGCAAAAAAGGGCTGGTGTTGTTTGTGCATGATTTAAGACAGGAAATAAACCTCCAAGAAGGCATATATGGTATGTTTATTTTTCTCATTCTGTTGTAAACTCCCCACAAAATGCATTACAGTATGTTTATATACTGCATGTTTAACAAATGTTCATATATGAGTAAACAAATTCAGATTATCTGATGGTGCACACAGTCATCACCAAATAAAGCTGATTCTGATTCAGTGTATTTGATAGTTGTAAAATAATGCAAAATTCTAGAGTCCTTTATATATATTTTTTTTATTCATTACTAGATACATGTTGAAATACGTTTTTTTTTTTACCTGCTTTTTTTTTTTTGCTATCCTGGATCGTCCATCCTGCTGAAGGCATAATCAAATTTAAAAATCCTAAATTGATTTGAGGGAACAGCTTGGCAGAACATGTCAAACAAAAATTCACGGCACTATGTGGAGAGATTTCTGCCGACATGCAAGAGCCGACAGGGAGTGCAAAGAAAGAACCATTCATGTTAATTTCCTGATCAGAAAGGACTCCCTGAAAATATATCCTTCTAAGTTTTTAATTATTCTAAAAATATTTTAATAAGGTTGCATTGTTTAGGTCTATAATTTAGTCAGGTGTAGATGTTTTTATGGACTCAAGTTTTTAGGTTTTTATGTTTTTCCCTCCTGTGTTTTTCTACCTGCCCTCAGATCTAAACACCCTGCTGAAAATTGATGACTATGATTACCTGAGTCCCCTTCCTGAGCCTTCAGTCACAGGTATGTAAAGTAGAGCTCCTGCAGAGATCCTTCAAAAGCAATCATTATCATGCACAAATCTTGATGTTTGATGTGTGGATCTCCTACCTTCTGAAATGTTCCAACTAATCCCAGCCGTTTGTGTCGTTTGTGTGTTTCTGTGCTTGCAGAAGTCTCTCTGATGACGTGGTGGTTTAACTCATGTGGTGCCAGCGGCCCCCATGGCCCAACCCAAGCCCAGTGTGACAGCACCTACAGGAACAAAAACGTCAGTGTCACTGTGGGGAAAGAAGGCCCCTTGAAAGGAGTCCAGATGTGGAAGGTCCCGGCTACTAATAGATACCTGTGAGTGAAAATGTGGGGAGTGTTACCAGAGGTATCAAGTAACAAAGTACAAATACCCTACTATAGTAGATGACAAGAGTAATTATTTTTTAGACAACTTTGTACTTCTACTTTTTACAGTTTTTGTAATTTTTTCTACTTTCTACTCCTTATATTCTAAAAATAGACTTATTAGTTTTGCTTTATTTGAGCTCATTTTCGTGATGGCCTGTTGGCAATTAAGAAAAAAAAAGAAAAAACATCAAAATATGTGTTTCATGGAAACAATTCATTGTTTTGTGGTTGGACTCAGTCCTGCACCAACTTGTTGTTCGCCACATACACCATTAAATAGTTTTTCAAGATGATGCACAGTTAAATTTAACACTGTAACAGTTAGTTATAAAACTAAGACACTTTTAAGTATAAGGAAGTTATCATCCACAATTGTAGATATATGTTCCTTTAATAGCGCAGTAACCAGTATAAGGTTTAAAGCATCTGTCCTTAACATTTTTCCCTGCATTACTTTTACTTTTACAATTTAAGTAATTTGAGAAATGGTACTTTTTTACTTTTACTGTACTTGAGTAAAAAGCTTAAGTTGATACAATTTTAAAACAGTAGGACTTATACTTCCACTTGAGAAATTAACAGTAATACTGTTGACACCTCTGGGTGTTACATTTCCAAACACTGATCTGATTCTTTCAGGAACAGTCTGATTGTTTCTTTTCATTGAAGACATAAGTCATGTCCTCGTACTCAGACGTGAAGCTCAAAAGTAAACACATGCATCAGATTTTGCTTTGAAGCATAAAGAACAAAATTTGCCTAATTAAATGTTTAAAGTGAATTTGTTGTCAAGATTAAATTACTTTGAGTTTATTTCAGGTGATTCAAGGAAAGAAGAAAATCCAAAGACGTGACTTAAAGCTGCTTTTTCACACTTTTCTTTGTTTTGAACATGAAAAAAAAGGAAGAAATGATATTTCATTTCTTGTTGCTGATGTTTACAAATCCTAAACTCAATCCCTCAGTTAAAAATTTTAAGAAATTATATATTGATATTCAAGCTAAAAATTAAGATTCTCTTTACTTGGTTCAATTTATTTTGTTAGCCAGTTGAAATGAATTTGGCATCATACGGCTCAATTATACCATTTACATCTCTAAAGATGTCTCTAATGCATTGCTTCACTCCTGAATACGCCTCTACATTGAGATAACATGCAGGTCACCTGCTCCAGTGGCGTCATTTGTGTTCAGTATGAACACATCATAAATAGTTCATCTAAGACTTTTTATTAAGGTTTTTGATCAGAGGTGGCAGCCTTGCTTTCTACTGATGGGCTGCTGTAGCTGCGGTATAGCTACAGCTAATGTGTGAATGTGTGCAGAAACGGAGTCTGAACAGCTTTGCAGTCGTCAGACTTGATAAAATACTCTACAAGCACAAACCATTTACTATTTAAGTAAAAAATAAATATAAATAACTGATTTGGGAAAAGGTGATGTAGCTGGTCTTGAGGAATTCATTGCCTCATATTCCAATGAGGCAATTTTTGTTATTGTCATCTAAAAGGATCCATAATTTGTCAGCCCAAATAGCAGTCATCTGGTCTTCTTTATTTTTTTATTTGCTTGTTTAATATTTTACTATTTGTTCCCTTTCCTAAGGTTTTCATTTTCTGAAATTGAGTTCTTTATTCATTAGCTGTAGCAGGAAAATTAAAAATGAGCTGCTGAATATATTTGTATGGTCAGTAGAGGCTCCCCACCTGTGTTTATTGCTTTGTTTCTTTCTCCCATCACCAGTCACCAGTGGTGTGGTGTATTTCGCTTTGTGTGTTGAGTGCTGCAGATGCAGTTTCAGGGTTATTTAAGGCTAAGAGTTGTTTTGCTCAGGTGTTTCTAATGAGAAAGTGCAAACGCTTTTCTTTGAGACCCTCTGGAGAGGTCAGACCTAATAATACTGCAGAAAACTGTTAGAAGTCTCAGAGGGTTCACAAACGGCTGCTACTCTGTAATTAGTTATTGTATGACTTAAAACTATTTTTCTACTTCATATCATCTATTTCTTCTCTGTGTTCATGATCTATATTCATTTATATTTACTAAAATCCATAGCCTGGGATCCTTTTTTAATTTTGCATCTGTGAGAGGAATCTGCTCATGATCTGTCCAGGAGGAAACCTGAGCCAAAATATAATTTCTTTCAGTCTCAGAGATTAATCCCTTTGTGTCGGTGTGATCTCCCTCAGTATCTCTGCTTATGGGGCGGCTGGAGGAAAAGGTGCCAAAAACCATAACAAACGTAACCACGGAGTGTTTATCTCGGCCATATTTCCATTGGAAAAAGGAGAAATACTTCACATCTTGGTGGGACACCAGGGAGAGGACGCCTGTCCTGGGGTGAGTGGGATAGCTTACATGATTGGTGTCTACAGACAGAGCAGGGACTGCAGGCTGACCCAGATACAGCTCCTTCTCCTGGACTCGTGTCTATGACGGTTTCTGCTCTTAAGCTCGATTCTCTTCCTCCTACGCCAGAGAAATTCACTAACGCAGAAAATATGCCTGGGAGAGTCGTCTGTGATTGAAGACAGCCGCAGGTCTGAGACCGGTGCAGAGCGAGCAGGCGGAGGTGGCGGTGGGGGAGGAGCCACTTACATCTTTAAGGTGCTAGAAATTACTTTCTCTTCCTTCTATTCCTTTATTCAGATTGCCTGTAAGTGATCAACTTCAAGATGGTGTGCTCTTTCCTAATCTAAATCACATGTGTACATAACAATGTGAATGCATGCAGGGGTTCCACAGTAACTCTGATTTAAATAAGTAACATCATATTAAATCCTTACACCCAGATTGATCAAATGAAGGTTCTTGGGACACAAAGTGAATAAAAAGCAAACCTCACCTTATAACAATAATACTCTGCAATCAACAAGTCACAAAGTAGACAAAGAAAACAGCTGCAATTGATTTAGATAGGCTTGATTTTATTAATCTATCAGCATTCAAATAAATTTTTATGTCTTTGAGATTTGAAACAAGCCAGCAGGCCCAATAATGTTCTTTCCTGACATTTTTTACCTATTTTAGAGTAGCCATTTTTCCGCCTTTCTTCACAGGTAGTGGTTATTTGATATTTTCTGCAATCTATTTTTTTTTCATGTAGTTTTTTTCAATACTTTTAACTGAATAAAACAGCTTAATGTGCAGCAATTTGTTTGCTTGGAATAATAATTGAAAGCTGGAAGATAAAAGAAAATATTACTTTCGTAAAACCTTTGAGTTTCCAACAGGCATGACTACAGGAAGCAGGAGAAAGTCCAGGATGTGAGCGAAGCTACGGACCTTCATTTAGTCAAACATCAAAGATCTAAAAACCTTCAAAAAAGCATAAAGAAAAATAAAACTAATGGGTTATTTTTACAAATTGGGCTTGTTGGAAGAAAAAGAAAAGTACATCAGGAAAGATTTAAGACTTTTGATCATTATTGCTAAAAGCTTCAGGACATGCAAACAGCAAAGTCCTGCTGCTTATTATCATTTGGTTTATTTTATAATTAGATGACCAAGTTCAGTTTGTCCTGATATTAAGGTTTGTTTTTACAGGTGCAGGATGGGAAGATGGTTCCCTTGCTGATTGCAGCTGGTGGAGGAGGAAATGCCTACCTGGAGGACCCAGAATATAGTGTGGACCAGATGCCGCTGGAACAGTTTGAAAACAGCACAGCAGCCCTGGGTACCAACGGTCGAACTGGACATGCAGGTATCTGGCAGCAGGTCTCCCACTTTGACAGCTCTGCTGCTTCTATGAAACCTGTTTACTTAACGATAGAAAGAAATCTACGGTAATTTGACTTTTCCCGCTTATTTTAAAGCAGCTTTTTACATTCTATTTAAGGAATACATTTTAGTGTGTTCTTCTAAATATTGACAATCTGAAAAATTGTTTTACACCAATTTGCAAGCTCCAGAAATGGCCAAATAAAGTTTAACACAATTCACTGTCCTTAACTGCAAGACAACAGATAATTTTTAAAGTTCGGTTGTTACCACTAACCTTCGAAGTTAGAACATTGACCTGGATTCTTGTGTGTTTTATTAAATCTGCACATAAACTGCAAACATTTAATTTTGTCAAGAGCTGCAAACATAGCTACATATCTTCAGTGGACGTCTTTTTAAATCTTATTGGACTGCAGCAATATATTATACTTAGCAATCTCATCTTATTTTCTGAAGGCTGTGCAGCAGTTTCGTGTTATTATCATTCGCTGTCATTGCATCATGCATGAAAAACTGCTCTAGTTTAAATTATTACATATTTAAACTACTACGGTAATTATATATATATATATATATATATAATTAGTAGAAAACAGAATTATGTTTTCTACTAATCATATATATATATATATATATATATATATAT